ACACAATCCCCCCCCCCCCCCCCCTCCCGCCCCGTGCAAATAAATAAATCCCCGTTTCACCGGGGATTAACGCGTCCGAGCTCGCCGCGGCAACAGAGTTATCACGAGCCAGATTAGTCCGCTTTTTTCCTTTCCGCGAAACGCAATTAATCGAGATTTCCGTTTCATACGCGAGCCGAGCCGGATCGTTGAAAGTTAGACGGCTGCACCGCGCGGCGCGATGTTACGGGATCGAGGAACCGGGCAATCGCTCGCTATATAAGGGGTGAAACGATATTGTTTCCACGAAAAGTCAGTCGGGACGGAGTTTTTCGCTCGGTTCTCGGACACAGATCTCGACAGGGGTGTGCGCGTTCTTCGCGGTCAAGTTACGCGAGGTTTCTTCCACGTTACGAGTAATAAAATTATACGTACCGTGTCCGGCACGCGTCTAAAATCCTCGCGAAGGAGAAACGTGGAAAGTCCACGCGATTTCCCAACTTTCAGTTTTCGCCAGAGCCTTTGCGAAATTCCGCGGACTTTTCATCTCGCGATGGAGTAACGACAACGGGACAAATTCGCTCGATTCGAGTAGCGAAAGGGATTCTCGATTTCGATTTCGATTTCGTCGCGAAAGCACCCTCCTTTCGCAAGGCAACTTCCGGTCTCGCCCCGATATCATCGACGCGTAATTCTTCCCGCGCCAAGTCCATACGTCGGACCCGGCTGATACGCCATTGCTCGTTAGATCGAAGGGACGCCGTTGAAATTCTCGACGTGGTAAAAATTATTTCATTAGGCGCTTCCTGGGAAAAAATTCGCTTCCTTTAAAGGGCGTTCGTTACCTCGGCTCGCGTGCAAATGGCTTTCGAAAGTCGGCGTAATTCGCGCAAAAACCGGGCAAAAATTTCGTTCGCTGTCCGGTACGGTCCGCCGTTTCCCGTCGACGAGTTAAGTCGTTCAGTGGACCCTAAACGGGTAACCGTGCGTTCCAGCCATAACAATGTTGCACGTCGTTAAGTCGATCGCGTTCGGTTTCGTGCACGGTCGTGTCTTTGGCTTCTTAATTACGCGTCGACTAATTATACCCGCGTCTTTATAAACTTGCTCGGCTAATACGTCGCGATACGTATACATACGCGCGCGAGGCTCGTTAACGAGCGCTCGATTACCGATTACCTATCGATTACCGAGAAGAGCGGGAATTTGGAACGGAGACGATGCGTTTGGAAAGGGTATTCGTCGAATACGGTCGAAATTCTGCGTGTCCCTGCGCTGCAGGGTGGTAGGAAGGTAGCACGACCGATGGGCAGGTTAATCATCGTTAAGACGGGAAGCTGGCGCTGCCACGGGTCACTCCGCGGATCCTGAGTAACGATCTCCGCGGCTACGCGTCGCATTAGGCCCCGCGTAAATACGCAAACTCGTCGAACGCGGCGTATAATTCCGCGCGTGATTGCGAAATATCGTTCCCTCTCGTTTGTCCGCGAATCGCCTCGCGAGCACCCCTCGCGACTCGCTCGTGACCTGGCTGCCATTCGTCCGCCGTTTCGCGCCGTAATTCTCACGAGTTACCTACCGCGATCGCGATCGTTAAAGATCACGATTGGAGAAAAGGAGAGAAAGAAGAGAAAAAGGCGAGGGGAGCATAGAAGGAGCGAGATGAATTTATTCGTCACCGCGTGGATCAGCGATCGGAGCGATCGTACGGGTCCGGTGGAAGCAGGGGGCCGGGGAGGGGGCGAAATATAACGTTGGCCGATTCTCGATTCATATGGGGCCCGTCACAGTGTCGGGCCACCATGTCGGAGGATCGCGGCACCCTCGTGATTTCATCGACGCGAGTTAAAAAAAGTGGCATCGACGCTGACGAGTCAATTCATCTCGTTCTACTGACCTGAAACGCGGGATGACGTCAGGCGGAGAGCCGGTGCGAGGGCCAGCCCGTTTCGATCTATTCGAGGCAACGATCGGCGCGGATCGTGAGTCACGTCCCGGGACCGAAACACATCGCCGGCAAGCAGCCTGGTAATTTCTTTTCCAGCCAGATAATTCATTCCCCCGGCGATGTTTTGACGCACTCCGTTGCGATCCGTCGTATCAAATCGATAGGCCTCTCGGCGCGCGGTGATCTACGATCGCCTCGGCCGATAGGAACGGTGAACGGTAAATTGCCGCGGTGTCGTAGACGCTTGGGCGAAAGGCTGAGCCGCTTTGTGAAATTTCTCATGAAATTCGCTGCGCCTTCCCCGCGAATTATTTCCTTTATTCGCTTTATCGCCCGACTCGCGCGAGCTAACGAGCAACCGTGCGCGATACGCCGCGTATCCAGCGACGCGCGCGCGCGCGAGGGAAAAAGTAAAAAGACGGAATCCCGATAGGGATCTCGAGGTAAAATTGCGCAAACGGTCGGTGTTAGATGGAAAGAAATTTCTCTCCTCTCCTCTCCTCTCCTCTTCGCGATGGTACTCGCGGCGTAATCGCGGTCGTCGTGGTTCGTCTGGCCCGTTGTGTCGGGTTAAGCGTGGACGGAACGACGAATTCCACGGCGTACAGGAGGCCGGGACGAGCAGGAAGACGAAAATCGGACGCAGAGCGTGTCGGGGCAAAGAAGAAAACGAGAAGAATAGTCGTGGTGCCCGGCAGTTGCTCTCGCGGCGTCCGTATCGAATGCTAATTAAACGGGTGTCGACTGTATCAAAATACCTAACGGCTGGGCCAGCTCGGAGGACTACAGGCCGATCGGTAGAGAAGGGCCACGGTATAGTTTTCGGGGAGCCGTGGAGCCTAATGTATGCCAGTGGGCTAGCACGGTGGTCTCGCGGCACCGTGTGGGTGGTCCACGTTCTCTTGCCAAGGCACTCCCCTATGCTACGGGCACTGCTATGTGCACTATATACCCTTTCTCTCTCTTTCGCTCCTCGTCTTTCTCCCGTTCTTTCCCTCTATTCGTCATAGCGCCTCGTCTTTAGAATTCCACCAAATTTTCCCTCTAGCCGCCTTTCTCTTTCCCTTTCGTCGAATTAACTTTATCGCCGCGACTCTGGCTAAGTGGGCCCGATCGTTCCCGCTTTCCTACCTTTTATATCCCGTATAATATAATTCCGCGTGGGAAGAACGAAGACGATACGAGGACGGAGTAGCAGGCCGTAGCCGGTAGAGGAAGCGACTCGTGCCTCGTCCACGACGTCGATCCGGGCTCTCGGCATGCCACTTTGTCGCGCCTTTTCCTACCGATCCTCTACTTACCTCGGTACCACACCTCTCCCCGTACTCCCTGCCTGTCGTTTATACACGCTCGTACGTACGCCGAATAAACACCGGCGCGATAGCGCTTCCCGTATCGCAAACCGATCGCAACCGCATTACGGATCGCGTCTCTTCGCTTTCGCCGTTCGTTTTCGACTACGAATTAAACCCCCGTTACCTCGTCATCGCGCTCAACCGCATACCGTTTCCAATTCTCGCGTTAACGAGGATAAACTCGGTCGTTTCTCGTCCCCCGACGTCCTCCGTCGCGCACACGTTCGTCTATTTTCCCCCCGCTGCCGCGATAGTCACTCGGATTTAAGAGTCTATTCGGCCTGGAACGAGCTTATCGCTTAATTAAATCCTCGATCGCGAGGCGGAAGTGCGCGCATCGGACACACGGTATGTCTCCTAACGAACGTCGCGGCGCACGTGCGCGCGAGCGCGCGAAGCGTGTGCTGAAGGCAAGCAGAGTCGGTCCTACTACGCGGCCCTTTACTTACCGCCGGTGTACGACATGCTTACTCGCCTACCGTGTACTCCTCGAATGGAGCGCGCAGGGAGAGAAAGAAGGGTTGCCGAGGACGGAGGTGGAGGCGCACGTGTGGTCGGCGACGTATCGCTCAATTGAGCGAACGGTCCCAAACCGGTCCCGGGTTTCGGTCCGGCAAGACGACAGCCGAGTGTCACGCTGTTGCCGCGGCTGCTGCTTTGACTAATTTCCTCGCCCTTCCTGCCTCGATATTCCGTCGTTCCGCGCTAGTTTCTTCCGCCTCTGTCTCCGTCCCCCTTTCGCGATCTCTCGTTCATCGAGATTCCAATTTTTTCCTCCATTTTTCCCCATTTCTCCGATTTCTGGATTTTTCGCAGAGGTATCCTCGATCGCGAAATTGCGCGAGTCGTCGGTGACGTTTAGCGGTGGGACGTCGGAGAGACAAAGAAACCCGGCGAGCTGTCTGACCATCGAAGCGTCGTTCCACTTGTCGCGGGTATCGGGCGTCGCGCTGCTCGATGAGTCGCGAATGAGAGCGGAGTGACGGAAAAGCCAGGAATAGCTTGCGGTGTTCGGGGAGAAAAATTAGCGAGGGATGGCGCGGAAAGACGAAGCGCGAAACGGTAAGAATAGTTGGGCGTGCGTAGGTCGCGGGGGGAAAAGAAAGGCGTCGCGGCGGAGGAGGAGGGACGAGGAGGAGCAGCGGAGGTCGGAGAGAGGAGGAGAGAGATAACTGGGCTGGGTTTTATTAATACGCTTGAGGACAAATTAGCCAGTTGATTGCACGATTTAATTATAACCGTCTCCCTCGGTCTCTCGGCCCGCTTGGAACCGCCTCGCGCGACGGAGAGAGAAAGCCGGGGAGAGCGAGAGAGATGGGCCAGGCTTTCGCCGAGTCCCTGTCGGGGCACCGTATTAAAACGTCGACTTCTTTATTAACGGAGCCTCTCGGACACGTTTCTCCTTCTTTTCTTCCGTGCACGCGCGAACCAAAGCACGGTCGCCGCGCTATCGCGCTATCTCGCCGTAAAATAACGTGGTCGCCGGCGGGCCTGCGACCAGCAACGGGACGACGATCTAATTTTCGCATCGAGATAACCACGAGGAACCGTCGCTCTCCGCTGCCTTTTTCCCATCCCCGGCGACGAAATCCTCGCGGCGGAGATAAGAGGAGAAGAGATGCCTCTCGCGTGCACGCGTTCCAGCGTCGTCACGATCTCTCGCGTCGATTCCTCGAACGCGTCGACCTTGCGAGACGCGCGCAGGAGTGCCCGGTGGGTCCTTCGAGATCGCGGACGGGGAATAAAAATGTCGAACAGAATCTGTCCACGGCTACCGGCGTTGTTCGACGATAATGGCCCGTTGGTAGTGGATGGATTTTTTTTCCTTTCGAAATAGACACGTACGGCCACGTCGAAAACCGGCGATCGGCGTTCGGTCTGTTTGCCGAGCGAAGAAAACATCGTGGAGGGCACTCGATGCTAAAGGTCCCACTAGAAACCTTTCGTGGAGAACAAGTTCGTCCGGACGTGCGCGTTGCTCCTTTTTCAGGACTATACATAGTCGCTATTCATCGTTGGTATAACCCACGGACCTACACGATGGGAGCCGTGCCTCGTAATGAAGACGTTTCTCTAGGTTAGGGGAAGTTTGACGTTTTTATGGGTCAGCCTTGACTCTTCCTTTTTTTTTTCCCATTTCGTGTCTCTGTCTCTCTCTCTCTTGCTCCGACTCTCTCTTTCCGCGGTGCCGAAGCAGCAGCAGCAGCTATTTCTCATCGTTCAGCCGCTTCTTTCTCCTCTTCCCTGGATCTCTGGCGTTCCCCGAACGACCGGCTAAGCCGGCCAGCTCCGTTATTGACGGGTCTATCATCTGGCTAATTCCGTAATAGGTGGATTTTCGGCTTTAACTCGGACGTTAGGAAGTTAACGACCGAGCGTTACGGGCCACGGTGCAACGACCTTGGCAGCGCCGATGCATCCTCCGGATACGCGACAGGGACAAATCGTCCTCCCCACCTGATGGAGAAACGTGATTTGCACGGGCGTTCGTCTACGTCCGTTCTCCGCGCGGGTCGAAAGAGTTTTCTGGAATCGTTCGCCTGGACGACCTCGCGCGTAAAGATAGATTTCAACCATCCCCCTGCTTCCCCGCAAGTTCGCCTATTCCACCATCTACCGATCGTCGCCCCGCGCCGCGTTAATCCTTACCCTGCGAATAATTTCCCCGCTTAACCGCGGGGACCCGGTCCACGCGAATAATCCCACCGCTGTCGAATAAGAGAGCTCTCCTCTGTGCCGGAAATCGCAATTTCGCGGTCATCGGCGTATCGTTTCTTCCGCGCGAGGAAAAACCGGCGGGTTGGGCGTGCGTTGGTTAATCGTTGCCATCGGACCCCATATCCAGGAACACCGGGTAATGCGCCAGCCGTTCATCCCCTCTCTTCTTTTCCTCCAACGAGATCGTCGTCCCGGGATCGAGAGGGAAACTGTTCATCTCGGCTCATCGTGCTCGATCCGATTTTCGTCTAGCCCGTACCCGTACGCGCGCACGATCCGATCGTTCCGTTTAACCAGGTTCCGCCCGGGAATCCCGGATAATTGATACGTTAAACGTATTAATACGATGCTGTTAGGTGGATTATCATGCGGGTAATTGCCAGTGGCGTACGCGGAGGCAAGCATTCCTAGGTAAATGCATCCACACTCGAACGTACCGCAATTAAATGGTAATGCTCGTATATCATAAAGGTTGCATCACGGTAGGTGAACCCCCGGGACGATGATTTATGCGATCTATCGCGAATCGAGCGTTTTCTCGTGCCCACACAGCGTTCGGTCGCGTACCCGCGTGCCAGGCGAACGATTGCCAGTGACAGCGAGTCGCGCGATCGCCGATGGAACAACGCGCGATTATCCACGGTCATGGGAACGTTAATAATTAGCGCGTTGATCCACCGCGAGTGATAATGATAAGTGGCGTAACGAGGTAGAGGCGCGTAACGAGCAGACAGAGGATACAATGTCGACAGAGGGTAAACAGATTCGAAGCGATTCGTAGAATTAGCGATGACGAGGCTTAATTCGCGATCGAGGCGAATCGCTGGCTCGTACCGCGGTACGATTTACGGTGCGCGGTAATCGCGGGATCGTGACTGTCGATCGGCCACTTCCAATGCCTTTTACCTGCGCCGGTGTCGCAACGCGCGCGACAGCCCGTTGAAAAAAGCCGTTTAGCTATTCGCGTGTCGGTGGACTTTTGCGAACCGATGAAAATTCTGCCCGATCGACTTCTCCGCAGTTGCACGCTCGTTAATCCCGACACGGTTCGTTAGTCGATTTATCCATCGCCCCTGCTCGGGGGAACAACAAAGGACGCGCGCGGAGGTGTCGAAACCGCGAAAAACGAGACCATCCTTGGCCGTGGAATAAAACGATCCACTCGGAGCTGGCCGACGATGGTGGTCCTCGAGGTACAAAGGCTGGTCGTTTAAAGGACGCTCATTTTATTGGTGTCGCGCGATCGAACGGGCCCTTAAAGTACTTGGCTGCTTTGTTCGTTAGCGTGGCGCCCACAGAGCCGAGCAGGTCTGACCAACCGCTGGAGACGAGTAAAAAGTTTCGAAAGATCGTGGAAAAGGAGAACGAAACCTCCATCTCGACGCGTCTCGAGCGCCATTCCCATTCCCCTTCGTCTCCTCCGTCGCGTTCGAGATCTCTTTTATTAATATGCCATATATATAATACATAAAAGAGCCTTCTACAGAGTAGTCACAGCGATCCGTTATTCCCAAATCACGGAATCGCGACGCGTCTCGAACGCCATTTCGATTCCTCCTCGTCTCGTTCATCTGATCCGAGATCTCGCGACGCTCCGCTTATTAATATGCTTATTATATATATATATATATTCGGAATTCCCAAATCAGGGAACGACATTCGCGTTTTCGCGAAAAATCCCTGTGCGTACGTTACGTTTGCGGCGGATCTAGCAAAGTGGGATTTTTCCGAGCACGGATGTGCGCGTAGAAGAGCCATAAACCGAAAGATAAAGAGGAAGATAAATACCGGGACGGTGGTAGCGGGACCTAACTCAAATTTTGCCAGACCCGTGTACACCCCGCTCGCCACGGAAGCTGTTTTATGGAGATTGCATTCCAGCAGTCGTGGAAGATATTATTAAGAGGTCCAGCGTGGCCTCCGAGAGCGTAGTCCTCTTCGTTGTTCACCGACATTTAAGTCAAGCTGGCGGGTAGAGGAGAGAAGCATCGTGGAGGAGAGACGAGGAGAGAAGAGGACGGTTCCCGGAGAGTCGAACAGGTCAGAAGAGTTATTCGTCTGGTGGCGGTGAACCGACGTCCTCTTTCCATTCGACGACAGCTCTTTTGGGCCCGTTCC